GCCGGAATAAACCCACGAAGTCGACAACCGAAAATTGTGAAAATCTGCCCAGATTTTCAGATTTTTTGGGCAAGTTTGAGGCAATATTTCGACAACTTCCGACAACCAAAACCTTCGATTTCGGATACCGTTGGAAAGCCCACAATGTCCTCTTCAATTATCACCAAAAATCTCCCCATAATTCCAAGGTATTCGGCCGGAATAAACCCACGAATTCAGCTACCAAAAAAGTCCAAAAATCTGCCCAGTTGGGTAGCTGACTTCGTGGATTTATTCCGGCCAAATCACTTGGAGTTTTGGGGAGATTTTTGATTGTAATTGAAGAGGACATTGTGGGCTTTCCAACGGTATTCGAAATCGAAGGTTTTGGTGGTCAGAAGTTGCCGAAAAATTGCCTCAAACTTGCCCAAAAAATCTGAAAATCTGGGCAGATTTTCACAATTTTCGGTTGCCGACTTCGTGGCTTTATTCCGGCCTAATCACTTGAAGTTTTGGAGAGATTTTTGGTGTTAATTGAAGAGGATATCGTGGGCTTTCCAAGGGTATCCTAAATCGGCGAGTTTGGTGGTCGAAAGTTGTCGAAAAAGTGCCTCAAATTTGGCCAAAAAAATCTGAAAATTCAGTGACCGTTTTGAAAGAAATTTCAAACTTCGGTGACTGTTTCTGAAACTTTGAAACTTCAGTGACCGTTTTGAAATTTTCAAATAACTTCAGTGACCATTTGTGAAATTAACCCATTGTTAATGTGCGTTAAAATGAGTTAAAAAATTAGGATCATAAATGTAATAATGAATAAAGATTATACGCCATCATGCAATTAAAATGTGATGCAATTATTAAAATACGTGGTTTGTACACTTTTTTCTTTCGCGTGTAATTGTAAAATATCGATTAAATTAATTTGCACGTATGCATCACCATTACCATCAGTATATCTATTGCCCGTCGACTAATGATCTCACTGTTAAATCAAACTTCATAGATAGTAAGTTAGGTGCCTTAATAATTAATTATCATATTGATTAGTTGTTAATGACCCCACTCGGGCTTTATATCTTTTCCTAGCATAATCAAAACAAGTGGGACCCATTATAATTTGATAAATAAAAGAAAAAAAAAATTGTTCATCCATATTATTATTATTTGTTGGATTTAGGTGGTATTTAACGTTAATTTATGTGTTAATATATGTCAAAACAATAAATTCAATCAAATATAATGATAAATGACTCAATTAATTGGTCATATTGTATTAACATCTAAACTAGTGCTAAAAGTATCTCTAATGCATTCCGTTTATTGCAATATAGCTGGGATCTAAATAGAAAGACTTTGGATTTACGCAATGGTAATGTCTAATGAATATATGGTAGAATTGAATTTTTGTAAACATTGTCTATTTTATTTTATGTGATAAATTTTTTTTAGTGAAATTCACACTAGTATTGGAGAGACTCTAATAAAATTAGTACATGGGTAATTATTATATTTATACTATAGTTTTTGTCCGTTACATCACGTTTTAATTGCAATGAAAGTCCCTAAATTTAATCATGTTGCATGTACATCATTCTTTACACCATTTTTTACACACTGTCACGTGACAATACACTATTTGATAGTCTGAAATTTGGATAATTTTTTCTTCCAATCATTTGTGGACAACTATGATAATGTCAACAAAGATGTAAAAAAGAGTGTACAAATGACATTATCCTCACTAAATTTTACACATTATCACACTTATGTTCTTTTTTTTTTTTTTCTTCGGTGCATGACCTTACCCTCAACATTCCACTATTCAGAACAACCTTTTTTTTAATGACAATTTTCGTCCAAAAAATTCTTTAAACGAGATAAATGACTTGTTTGCCCCGTTATATAATCAGCAAAAAAGAAAGATAAATACAAATGTTTTTCAAAATATTTACCTTCATTCAAAACGTGCTAACATAATATTTAGACAGAAATTGTCATCAAGGAAAAGATGTGATAATTAACGAAAAAAATAAGGATAAAAATGTGGTGGAAAATAGTTGAGGAGTTAAATGCGACAATAAATAAAGGTTGAAAACATTCGTAGTAATTAAAATATGGTAGGACATATATAAATTGTTCTTAATGTAATTAACCTTACTTTAAAAAGAAATTGCATAACGAATTAGTATGTGTTGATGTGGAATTTTTAAATCAAATCCTAGTTGACTCGATTAGCTTGAGCTACTCTCGATATGTAAATGTACATGTTGTTATCATCTTAGTCATTTTTTTAATAATTAAAGTCAACAATTAATTTTAACTCATATTTCATGTAATTTATAATTTTTTAACTACACATTTTCACCATTTTGTTTGTTAAAATTTATTAAAAAATTGATTTTTAACTTTCACCAAACAGGGACAATATATTTGACATTTTCGTCTCTAATAAGCCCCGGTTTTGCCACAATTATTCTCCATTAAATTATAATTTATTTTTCTATTTCTTCTTATTAACCACATATTCTTCAATAAAATAATAGTACACGTAAATTAAAAAAATATATTTTTTAACCATATATTTTTCAAAAAATTACTATTCCTCTCATCATAACGTTGAATAATGGGGGCCAAATGGACGTTAAATTTAGCATAGTTTCAAATCATATTAATTAATTCTTAACACCACCTAACCTAATTAATTTTTTGAAGAAACGTAGAGTCAAATGATCAATGCCCGTGAACTCTTAACCTAACCTAACTTAAATAACAAAGTTGAGCTCGACTTGACTCGAACAAGAAATTCGGATTTATTTTTTCTAAAATAAAAATACACGCACAATTCAAACTATATAACATTTTTTTAATAATCTTTATTCTCCAAAAAATGATTATTCCAATTTCCAATCATATTTGCTTAACAATATTAAATAAAGAAAGAATTATTGAATTATAAAGACTCGAAAAAGATATTGAATGATGAATTAGCATGTGTTGATGTGGAATTTTTAAACTAATTCCTAGTTGACTCAAGTAGCTTGAGTTACCCTCGATATGTTCATTAATCTCAGTCGTTCTTTCTGTAAAAAATTTTAAGACGTATTCAATTATGGCGATGAATTTGGTTAAGTTTGTTGAAAATTTTGTATTTCCTATTTAATGTGAACGATCATTCTCTATTTATGAAAATTTAAAATAAATAGTGATTTATCAAGTCAAATTATTTTATTTTATTTTATTTTCATGTTCATGAGTAATGTGCATATTATTTGAAACTAGGAATAGGTAGGCACTTTATGGGATGCACATGCCCTAAACTAGACATACATATTGCTTCTTTATTCTACCATATAATACGTTTGACATTTCGATTTTGCTACGAGTACATCACGGTGTCCACCCCCCTTAATATGGGGGGTGGGACCCACTTAAATAAAAAAATATTTTATACAAGTGGATCCCACCACCATGTGAGAGGGGTGGATACCTTCATGTACATCTTTTGATGTACAAGGAAATTTATCCTTGACATTTTTGTACCCATCTAATCAATTTATATAGTTTCTAATCATAGTAATTAATTAATAACACTACCTAACTAAATTAATTTTTTGAAGACGGAGAGTCAAATGATCAATGCCCATATACTCTTTAACCTAACCTAACTTGAACAATAAAGTTGAGCTCAATTCGACTTGACTTGACTCAGAAGTTCTGATTTAATTTTTTCTCTATAAAAATATGTGCATAACTCAGACTATGTAACATTTTTTTTATATTTTTTGTTCTCCGAAGAATGATTATTCCAATTTCCAATCATATTTTACTTAACAACATTAAATAAAGAAAGAATTATTGAATTATAGAGAATTTCTAATCATGGAATATAATACATGGGGTTTGGAAGCTTAAATGAACGGTCGGAGACTGAGGAACCCAGTAAATCACTCCATTGATCTCCAGAGTTACCCAGTATCCTATACCCCTCTTCAATCATCTCATCCCTCTTCTGTGACTTGTATATAGGTGCTGTTTTCTTATGATCCTCTGAGGACCTGCACAACAGTAGTAACATATTTGATAAACTGAGAGAAAGGTTACAATCTTCATTCTTGTCAAATACTGCTTACTTTAGATTTCATCTTACTTGATATTATACGAAAACTTTTAACAGAAGAACTATTACTCCGAGAAGATGCAAAAACAATAGTGAAAGAAAAAGTTGGCGACAAAGTGGGCTCGCCATCTAAGCTCAATGACGACTGCGTATAAGTATCATATGTAAGGGAATGTTGATTTCGACTGAGAAGGAAATTGTTAATAAAGGAAGTGAAAGTTCGGAAATTTGGAAAAATACACTTCAAGATTTGTCTTTTTCACCATGATTTCATGTATGGCAACTATGAACACAATCACCAAGCTTTCAGATAGTCCTTTTCTAAACCTCACGTGCCAAATTCTCAATATAGGAAAGTAAACTGAACCTTGCACTTCTGGTGGAAGTTACAGAAGATACCATCATATAAGGTCGTGCACAATATCATTGATCTAGATCCTCAAGGGCATAAAGCAGTTGACATGTCCATGTAGAAATGAAATGCACTCTCTTTAATTATTCAATAAACAAGCTACTTATCTTTTTCAAAGAAAAAGAAGACTAGACCATAGGCTATTCAGTGTCATCCAATGTCAATCATGGCCAAAACAATCGGTTTTGATTTAGAACCTATTTGCTAGCATCAGTCATCACATCATTGGAAACTCACATGTATATTAATATCCTACACGGGAACTCACCATGGATGATGACATTTGAATATGAGTCACAACCTCAGTTAATACCGGTGTAGCATCTAATTTAACACACTCCTACAATCGATCTAGTTGTGTTTAAATCCGAGGTTTAAGAGAAAAATGATGAAAATGCTTTAAAAAGTATTTCAACAAAATTTCAGCACATGCTCTGTCCATTGTGCGAGGAGTTCAAGAATGTTGCTGGAATTACTAGTGGAAGCCAAAACTTTTGGAGTCAAGAGACCCCAATAAGCTTGTTTTTTCTCTGGAAAGTGGGATCATTCATCTGACATTCAAGGTGTTGTGGTCGAGTACGAGAATAAAGAAAAACACACGAGGAAGAATGTTTAAATGATTTGGATGATGAATCTTTGATCAAGGTGAATTTGGACTAAAAAAACAAAAACCCGTGCAAACCACGTGACAACTTGACAAAAAAGAGACTGCAAAGAAGAGATGAATGTACTACAGTTTTTCCATACCGGGAACCTAAGAGCTAAGAAGAGAGAGGAGACAATGTGCAAAACTCGACAAAAAAAAATTGCTGCCACCCATAATTGATATTCAATTTCGGGACATCAGTAACTATAAATTCAATTTTATCAGAGAAATGCTAATTGTACCAGGGGGAGGGGGGGTTGACAACCCCCCTGACCGGCTCCTCACAACAGTGGGGGCCCACCTTTTTTTGTGAGGGGCCGGTCAGGGGGTTGTCAACCCCCCC